TCAATTAGATCACACGCACCGCAATCCACGAGCGCAGTCGCAGCGTATTATTCGCCGACATGAGTTTTCGACTTTTACCGAGTTAGAGCAGCTGGCCACCCGATTAGAAGTGATCGACGAAACCGCGAACCGACCTCGACATACCGTCGCGCCGGAGAAGTCCCTGCTTCCCGACCTCGCGTATCGTTCGTCGCGTAAGCCCGCGAGGGGTACCGCGACCGCTGCGGTTGGGATTGCTAGCCCGAGTAACGCGAACCGAAAAGTTCCGAGATACAATCGCGAGACGAGACCCTCCGGTAGTACGACCGCTCCGACCACCGCTGGCACTAGCACCACGAAATGCTGGAATTGCCAGAAAATAGGACATATCGCGCGCGAGTGCGGGGAAGAACGTCGTATTTATTGCTATCGCTGTGGAAAGTCGGAAGTCACGGTGAAGACGTGCCCGACGTGTTCGGGAAACGCTTAAGCGAGTCGCCCGCGCGGGTCAGAGCGGCTCCCGCGAATCCCATCGAGACCCGTAATGTTGCTACGGATTTAGAGAGATTACCGATAGCTTTTCACGTGTCGATGTTGCCGCCATTGCGATATTTCCGCATTTTCATCGGAGAATATCCGCTAATGGCTTTAGTTGACTCCGGGTCAAGCCGAACCATCCTGGGTACAAAGGGAATTGAGATCGTGCGTCGAATAGGACTTCCGACGCGATCCGCGAAAGGGTTTCGTATACGTACCGCGAACGGGCAGGTTACCGAGATATCCGAAAAGGTCCGAGTATCGTTAGCGTTAGAGGGCGTCCAGCGAGAACTTAATGTTTATTTGCTGCCGGATTTAGTCGTTCCGTGTATCGTGGGGATGGATTTTCTATGCTCTTTTAGTATCGGGTTAGATTTTGCATCGGCGGGGTGGCATTTCGCCGACCGTCCTTGGGAGCGTTACGCTTTTGAAGATCCTCCTCCCCACGAGACTTACGCTTGCTGCGGGCTTTCCGAATTGACCCCCGCTCAGGAGGAGCGGTTAAAGAAATTTTTAGAGTCCCGAGTACCGAAGACGATCGCGGATCCCGGTGTCACTCCTCTGACCGAGCATAGAATAGATGTCGGTCAAAACGCGCCAATCAAGCAGAGATGCTACTTAGTGTCGCCGAAGGTTCAAGAGGCGATTCGCGAAGAGGTCGACAAGATGTTGACAGCCGGGATAATCGAACCGTCGTTTAGCGAGTGGTCAAATCCGATCGTGATGATTAAAAAGCCGAACGGGAAGTATCGTTTTTGTCTCGACTTTCGTAAAGTTAA